CCATAAACACGAGTATTAGGGCTCAAATTACTTACCTCAATGAAATTCCCTTTGAATCCCTCTTCAAATTGCAACCAGAAGTTCCAAAATCGGATAAAAATGGTGAAGAATGACCCAAAATTCGCAAAGGGTCCAATTTATACTTTCTGCCCAGGTTTCTCGCACGTGCGGCTTTTTTCTCGCGCTTGCGGGACCGCACCTACGAACTTTACTTAAATCACCAGCTTTCGCACCTGCGCCCCAGGCCTCGCACATGCGGGCTCGCAGGTGCGGCCAAATCCTGCGCACCTATACCAAATTCCGCATATGCGGTTCACTTCCCACGTCTGCTATCATCGCACTTACGGTTCCCACTCCATAGGTGCAGAACATCAGAAACAGCAACTTCAGTTGCCCTATTCCACTTCCAACTCTCCATAAACAATCCGAATTCATCCCGAGGCTCTCACGACCTCAACCAAAATACCAACAAGTCTCATATCAACATACGAACTTAGTCGAACCTTCGGAACACTCAAAACGACATCAAAATATGAAATTACCCACAGATTCAAGCCTAAGAACTTCTAAACTTTTAAATTCCGTAAACGATGCCGAAACTCACCAAACTTCGTTCGAATGACATCAAATTTTGCACATACATCACAAATAATACTACAAACCTACTCCAACTTCTGAAATTCCATTCTGATCCCGATATTAAATTTTCACTATTGACCAAAATCGACAATTCAAGCCTAATTCTACCACGGACCTCCAAATCACATTCTAGACGCGCTCCCAAGTCCAAAAATCACCCAACGGAGCTAATGGAACCATTAGAAATCTAATTCGAGGTCAAATATTAAAAAGACAAAACTTGATCGAACCTTTAAAATTTAAAGCTTCCAGTTGAGACCATTCTCCCAAGTCAAATTTCGGATAATCTGAAAACCAAAACCGACGATTCACATAAGTCATAACACATCATACGGGGTTACTCATGCCCTTAAACAATTGAGCAAAGTGCAATTGCTCAAAACTACCGATCGGGTCGTTATATCCTCCCCCACTTAAACATGTGTTCATCCTCGAACATGCCCAGAGTTGTTCCAAAAGCCATCAAATTGTTGTATAATCTCACTATGCACATACCCGGGGGTGATCCCATGTCACCCTATCCTATATAGGTCTGATAACACAACATGACTGAAATTTCTTAATCCAACCTAGCCCGTAAGCCTTAGAATCCAATCTCCACATCTGAAATTTTCTATAAGACCAGAATTCTCGCATCCACACACTGTATAAGTCTGAACAAGTTGTCTCCAGTCATAGCCATAACCCAAGATGAAATCACATGATATACCACATAATTCAATCACTCACAGCGATAGCTTCTCATCACAACAGTTGCTCTAAACAACCCTCTACCGGTAATAAACCTCTTATCCAATAAAGTCTCATTCTAGCATTTCTATATACTGCAAATGATGAAAGAAACGCACAGAAACTCATAACCATATGTCAGATCAATAAGTTATAGAGCTCCCTCTTCTCCGACAGGAACTGTAGTAGATTTCTAAGCCGACTTCCAATATTATCCTTCCAACCATGTTGTAAACCAATTCTGATAGTATTCAGTCTAAGCCCAATGACCTCATTTCATCCAACATTACCCCTCTTATGACATGACACATCGATACAATCCAAAGCATAACATGTGCAATACATGCTCCCAATAGCAACATCCCAAATGTACTCAATCATGAAAATGACTCAAATGAGAAAACTGCCCCGCCAGCTTAACAAGTACCATCACGACCATGCTAAGAGCCTAGCACACATCATAGAACCAAAACTCATGAATCCGACACCAAGGATCATACCTCCACATAACTCCGCTATAATGCGTGGCCCCATCCAAACGTTGGTTTGTATTACATACCTCGAGCTACCCTGCTCCCAATCCATAACCATTCAAAATTCGACACGAACCCAAAGTGCATTACCACAACCATAGAGAGCAAATAACACAATGCCACCATCTGAAAAGAACATAGCCAACGCGCAATCAGTCACGCAATACCCGAATACTCATCTTGCTCAAATTCCCGCTATAAGCCCAAATAGAACCGCACCATATGTGCATATAGCCAACAAATCATAACTTCTCGTGACATAGAAAGGTAACAATCATATCATTTCAGAACACGAATAAGCTCAACAACCACTAAATGACACTTCCCTCAACAATAGCAGTTCGGAGTCAACCAATCCGACTCGATGCAGAACACACATCCATATTGGGCTTACCAATGAACCCAAAATTAGCTCTGGTCCCCCACGATAGGTACATAACCCTCTGAAAGTCTACAATGACTGAATCACAATGCATACTAACCATTGACTAACCTTGGCTACATTTGTACAGTCCACAACCACGAAACAATCTACTCACGAGAACACTCAGTCTCCAAATCAATAGAACATACGAATCACCATCTCTTATCTCAACTCGACCACCTAGATGTCCACAGTCCTCCAATTACACGGTCATCCCACGAGGAATACTTCTATGATCCTTCCGGACAACAAGGCAAAAATTTGAACTCCAGTAGTCGATAAAACAAGAGAGTGCCGCAATACAAATGAAGTACCCATAACTCAAACACATCGCCCATTTCCGAATGTATACTCTCATCAAACCATACCAATTAGTAATACCATTTACCTAGTCATCTAAAACTGTCCATGCTGCCTAAGAATTTATGACCTTCCTTTCAAAACTGAACCGTGACCTAAAAATTGGATAACAATTAAACTTATAATGTGGTTTTAAGGATACGTAATTTCACCTAATACTAATTGATAATGTAGAAATTAGAAATAAAGATTAACAATGAGATAAAGCAAATCAGTCTTGAAATGTGATTCAGCCCTCGAGCTTAAGTGCCCTCGAACTGATCGGTGCCACAAAATAGTTAAGAAGTAAAACTGATGAACAAGAATATAAGCTGAAAAGTATCATATTGGTTTGATATGTGTGAATGTAAGATGATTACAAGATGATTAAGACCCTCTTTATATAGTAGAGGAATCCTATTTACCGTACAATTCTAATTACGGAAGTAAATCTCATGATTAATAAATAACCTCCCTTGATTTGATCTATTTCGAGATTTACGCCACGATCTTCGGCCAGTCACGGATATCTCGTCTTTCTGTTATTGTGCTTTGCTCGACGTCTGTCTTTTTTTGTCTTGATCGCTATTGGCCTCGATCTTCGATAAGTGCCTCGGTTCTCGAACTCGGTCCCTTATCCTCATACCTCGATTTGGTCTGTTGTGAGGCCGACCTTCGACGCAATTCCCTAGCCTCGATCAAATAGTAAAATCGGGTAGGCCCGATTTTAACCATATACAAAGGTGAAACCATGTTTACTCCGGAAAATAAATGTTTTAAATTCCTTGAATCTTAATTAAATTTAAGTAGTTGTGTGATGCCTTATATAAATATGCAGTACTATGAGGCTTTAGGAATACATTTTAAAAAGGGAAAACTCGTCGAAGAAAGTTATAGTATTGTAGTTGTATTGCATTTTATTGTTAAATTTGAATCTGATTATCTATAATATATTAAAAGCACGAAGGTTCTCAACGAAATGTCGTTCGCCTTTTTTACTCTTTAAAAGTTAATTTTATATTGAACAAAATAGTCATTTAAATTACTTTCCTAATATTTAGGAGTTAAAAATAAATTATATTTTGTGTATCTAATTCTTCCTTATTTGAACTAGGTATGAAATCCTAATATTTAGGACTTCAACTTCAATTATACTTTTACCTTATATAAATTAAAAAGAAAGAAAAAACTAAATATACTTCTACCACATTTTTTCTCCCCTCTCCTTTCATTAACAAGAGATACTCTACGTACTATAGTTTTAATTTTACATTACCAATGTTTATGTAGAATGGAAAAATACAACTTAAAACTTGGGGCTTTTTATCTCATCCAAACTTGATCTTTATGAATAAATAAAAAATCTGCAATCCCTTTAAATATGGGTAAGTTACCATAAGAAATACTTTATTGAATATTCATTTAATTAATTTTCTAATATTTAGGAGTTTCAAAGTGATTAAAATTTTACGTATTAAATTTTTCTTACTTGAACTATGTAGAAAGTCCTACGATTTAGAACTTTGAAAACATTAAGAATTTACTTTGTACAAATTTAGATTTAGGAGTTTAAAACTATATTATTATATATATTTTTATTTAAACTATGTAAAAAATCTAAAAACTTTAAAATTATTAAGAGTTTACTTATGTAAATCTTGTACTTAAAAATATCCGGTCATTTGTTATGAAGGAAAATATGGACACTATAATATTCTATTGGTACTTATGTCTCTTGTGCAAACGTATAGTTAATATTTGAATAACATTGTGAGCACTTCTATGAGGCAGGATTTTTTTTTTCTTTTTGCTGAGTAGTTTAATAACATAAAAAATCATCATTTTCAGGACTTAAAATGTTTTCTTATTTTTCTAGCTCAAATATATTCTTTTATAATTTTTATGCTTTTAAAAAGTCTATATTCACTGATCAAGATACACGCACAAAGCGCGTACCACAAGACTAGTTTTTAAAATGTAGCATTAATGTTATATTTATTTATTTCTTTCTTTAAATGTCGACTCCGCTTTTAAAAATTTTTTTTGTGCGTCCCTATAACGTCAGTGCTTGGATAAAGTTCAAGACACGACAATTCTTTTTGCAAGGGCGTTATGCTATTGCTACGTAGAGTTGACAAAGTTTGACAAATAGTCGGTGCAAATTGTGCTACAAAATTCCCTTTGTACAAATCCGATATATATTTCTAGACCTTCTACAACTTTCCCACCGCCAACTACGCCTCCTAATAAACACCTTCTTCCACTTACTCCCCCACCGTTCTCCGAAAAAGATTTCTTCCGAAAAAGATCAAAAGTCCAATCAGTTCAATTCTCTAATGGCTTCATCAAATATTCCATCTCTTGAAGAACTCAGTGCAATAGGTGCTAGAGCTTTACTTTTCCAATTCATTCTCAATCCATCAGAAAATCAACGTGAAGTTACGGTATTAGTCAATTCAAGAATTGGATCAGTAACATTTATTGAAGGTTCTTTTAATCTAGACAATTTTCTGTCAAAAGATGATCCATTACCTGCATCAAAAGAATCTATAGATTCTATGCCAGCAGTGAAAATTGTAGAAGAAGGAGTTGAGTGTGCTATTTGTTTGTTAGAATTTGAAGTTGGTGGAGAAGCTAAGGAGATGCCATGTAAACATAAGTATCATGTGGATTGTGTTGAGAAGTGGTTAAAGATTAATGGGTCGTGTCCAATTTGTAGGTATAAAATGCCTGTGGATGAAGAGATTAAGGTTAAAGATGGCGGAGATGACAGTAGTAGGGAGAGAAGGGATGCACCTATAGTGTTTCATGTATTTTTTGGACGTGATCGTAATGTGTATTCAAATTCTAATTTGAGCTTGAATGGTCAAAGGGAGTCCGAGGATATGTCAACCGATCATACAAATGTGTATTCAGATTCAGACTGATTCGAATTCGAGAGCCCAAAATATGGACATATCAAACTCAGATGGACAAAGGGAGTCCGAGGAGATATCGACTGATACTAATGTGTATTCAGATTTAAACTCTAATTCGAACACAAGAGTCCAAAATATGGACATGTCAACAGCTGCTAGAGATGGTGATGAATCATCAGGTCAAGATATGGACATGATCAGGGATTAGTAATTGTGTTTTAGGACTCACTTTTCGTTCTCTTTTTTGTTTTCCTTTTAGGATTAGATTGGAACAGTTTGATTACTTTTGTACAGTTGACTTTGTTTTTTTTTTAAAGTTGAATCGTTGTTTTGGGTCAGCTGCAACGCAGCTGCTGTTTCTTAATTCTTTTGGAATACTTCGCTAGGTGTTAGTCGTCTGAATCCGCAGCACATGCATTTAATTATTCTTTATTTATTTCTTTTCTCATAAACTATGTTACTCTAGGAGACCACAATACGTGCATTTTTAGATGTGACGTTTTGATTTTCAGCATTATACTTGTATTAGAAGTTCATCATATAACTTGCATTCTTTTATAGGAATATAAATTAACTCATGGTTAGCGAGACTACATAATCAAGTCTCTTTCGGCTTATGAGGCTACGAATTTTATTTTTTTGGTTACAGCTGGTTTGGACTAGCTCCTCTTATGGAAGAAAGAACCGAGAAGAAGGTATCAACAACAACTGATTATATTACGGGACATCTCATAATATTTATATCAATTTAGTACGCGCTTCTATATGTAGCATTAGGTAGATCATTCAAAATCAAAAGTCATTGCGCCTTTAGCCGACTAGGAAGTCTCCATAGAAATTTCTTGTTTAGAGAAATCTGTAATCAATGAAAAGAACGGATAATATAATTAATTACTGAGGGCGAGCAGTCTCACATTCTCGAGGAAAAGTAGATGGTAAAAGCTACTAGGATTTTGCGATATGTTTATATGTGTAAATATAGAATTCAACTTAATTTATTGATCACATATAATCAATTAAGATATTGTATGAAAATATGCTTTTTTTTCAATTCTCCTTTGAGAAAAAGGAGGATTTTTCATATATTGGGTGGGTTCAAAGAAAAAGAAGATATATTTTTTTGTTTTCCTTACTTACTTTCCTTTTCCTTATATCAATAACTCAATCACAATGCAATTATTATTATTATTATCTAATATATTCAATCGTATTATTACTTTAAATACAATGTTATTTTGAGTGTTAGTTAAATTTTATTATATCGTATTAAATCTATTATTATATAACAACAAAAAGTATGTGATGATTATTTTTTGGTCGTGTCGGTATTTTATTTTTTTCTCATCTGACCTTTTCTTGTTATAAAATAATTTTATTTTGTTTGTTACTCTACGTACCTTTTTATACAATAATTTTATTCTGTAATATTTTGTCTTTTTATAATATTATAAGTTTGTTCTTCATATTGCTTGTGTATGATAGTATGAAATAACTGTAAATGATGCTTCATCCATTTTAATTTATGTGAATCTATTTCTTTTTTAGTCCGTACTAAAAAAAAAACCCCTTTTCATATTTGGAAATAATTTACCTTTCGCAATGAGTTATAGTTTATACAAAATATATGCGCCTCATTTTACAACACAAATTCAAAAGTCTTTTTTTCCTTATAAACTCCATGCACAGTCAAATAGGTTCACATAAATTAAAACGAAGGAAGTATAATCTATTCAAATATTGCATTCATCAAAATAATATAACTAGTATAACATAATATAATACGATATATTATGAAAAAATATGTAACAATCATCCAAACAAGCCGTTAGTCGTGAAATCAAATAAAATTTTCATATTCTGGTCTTGTTCACTGATAGATATGTGTAGTTAGATGCGATACATAATCCTTCGTAAAGCATCACAGTATTCTTAGGAGTATGGTGTGTTCAAAGCGAACCGAAAAATAGCACGAAACAGAAAAGTCAAACCAAATCAACTAGGTTTGGTTTGATTTGGTTTGGTATTGAATAAAAATAATTTGAACCAAATCGACATATAATTTATAATTTTTTATATATACTTTTAAAACTTTATATAGAATTTTGTTTAAAAAATATTAGAAATATTTGAGATCCTCTCATTGGACATAATATTTAATAGAACTATGAAGTGAATTCGTTTTTATTTACTTTATATAATGGGTTGTATTACTTTCTTATTAAGTGTTATTGATGCGTCGATCATCTCTTTGTTCTTTTATATTCATATGTCAAGATTTCCTATATCTTTTTCGAATTTGAAGTGGTATTTTGATAATTTAAATTACATAGAACATATCGTTATTTAGGAATCATATCGATTTTCATGTTTAATTATAAAATTCGGTTTAACCTTGAAAACATACATGAACGAAAAATTATTATTAGATGACTAAGAAAATAAACTATCAGGTGTTACTAAAAACAATTCTCCCATAAGAATATTTATTAGATTATATGTTTGTTATGTTTTTAAATTTTTAGTAAACATATATTCACTTATTAAAATTTTATCTACAACTTTGATAATTTAAGATTGAAATAATATTCATATAAAAAAATCGAACAACTCGAAAAACCCGATAAAACTGAACCAACAGAAATCGTAACCGTTACATAGGAGATTATCATTAGGCTGAAGTACACCGTAGCTAATGACTGTAAAAAATAAACAATTAAACTAACATTATAATTAGTCAAATCAAAAGCTTATATTGGTAACCAGTTAAAAAAATAACGAGCAATAGCTTTTTTTTCTTTTGCTGATGATATTATCCCCCACATAAAACCTTCGAACTTTCTTGTACTAAGTAGATCTCGTTTCCCTTCAATCTTCCTAGCGAAATTCATTTATCATATGCATTGAATGACACGATCTCGTAATAAAGTTCTCTTTACGTGTAGTCTTTGCCCACTTAAGAAAATGTGTATCCAATGCACGAAAAGTGTAACCATTGCCTTTCTAGTTATTCCGTTATTGAATTGAAGATTGAGGTGGTCGCTTAACATTGGGCAATCTATATATATATTTATATCTATATATATATATTAAAGTAGGAAAGTTACCATATATAATTGACATTATGGTTAAGTCAAGTGGCAAGCTAATAAATATCAATAGTATATGGTAACTTTATTCTATATTTGACTATTTTAGTTAAATACAAATGTTTGACTATATATATATA